CGGTACAGGTAGGCACTAACATGTTGACGCTCAGATGAGTAACTAAGTCGCTTGAGCTAAGGTTGTTGTCCTGACAGTGCCCTGACGCTCTGCGGCCGTCTGGCTCTCCTACGAAGTTCAGATTCACTCTGTTCGGATGAAAGTGAGCGGATCCTTGGTCCATTTTGTCATAGTGATAGTCCGTACACTATTCACAGACCTTAGGCGTGTATGTCAAGCTTATCAACTCAACCAGACGTACGTTTAAGATCACACAATCCATGTTATGCTTCCCCTTGGGTTGTTAAGACTTGACGACCCTGGAATGACACTATGGACTGTGTAAACTACTCATAAGTGACTAGTGGCTCCGAACCCACAGTTGCACTCGTAGAAATGCGTCCACACATACAACCATCCGCATATGTACACTCATCCCGGATATGAAAAGACTGACGAAATAATTCTCTATCAGCTTATAAATACATAAATAAATATAATTATACAACAAGGATATGAGTATACATGACGTTTCCATTGAATTTCACATAGCCCTACTTCTTGACCTCTCCTGCGTCATTCATATGATTGTGTGAAAATGCAACTACCATTCCTTTACCAGCTTAAATCACTCTTACATATTTATTTATTTATTCCTAAGCCGATAGATAATTATTTCTTCTTTTTTCTCATATTCAGGATGCGTGTATATGTGTGGTTGCCTTTCTACGAGTGTAATCCTGCTTTCGGAGCCGCCAGCCAATTATGAGTAGTTGCCACAGTCCATAGCGTCATTCCAGGATCGTCAAAGATTACGACCCAAGGGAAAGCATGGCATGGATTTTGTGGTCTCAAACGTACGTCTGGTTGAGTGGATGAGTTTGATATACGTGTCCAAGTTATGTGAATATTGTAGGAATCATCACTAAGACGGCCGACTGAGTCGCCTTATTAGCGTACATTGGCCAACATCCTCTCTATCTCTCCCTCTCTCTCTACTTAATATATTGGATACGCATTTCTACTGCTCTTTCTTTCATTCACTATGTTTCCTCTTCTAGCGATTTCTATGGCCTCTATTATATCGTGTTTAGTAGATGGTGTATCATAACCAACAAACAGCTTCGCTCTAGGCCAGTCCACCTCGGTTCCGGTTTTTGTCCGGTGCTGGGGCATTGGGTTAGAGGCCTCACGAAGAGTGGGGGTCACGAGGCCGTCTGAAGAGACGGCATCCATACCCATGACCTATTGTAAGTCTCGTCTGTTGCCTCTCTCCTTGGTCTCCCAACGACTAAGTAGATGATTTTTGGGTTGCTAGCTTTACGGTTGCCTTTGATGGTAAAGACCGAGAGGTACAGCAGCAAGGAAACCACTGGGGCGAGTTAGCCCCACACTCACAAAGTGGGCTGTTGATGTCCCCATGTGCTGACTTCGCAGCAGGGCACAATTTCACTGTCAATGCTATTTTTCCCACCCGCCCGCCCACAGGAAGCAGATTCAATACCTTCGTCGACAGAGGCCTTGTCATAATGGAGATCGCCTACTGCTATCCCGAGGATAACGGCACTTACGTCTGCCTGGCGAAGAATGCAATCGGTGAGACCCGAAGCGATCCCGTTCACCTCAGGTAACATCAGGACGCCAATTTGTGATAACCTGGCTATGCTTAAAAGTATTTAAGACATTTGCATCTGCTTTATTTTTTCTATATGATACCTGATATGATGCCTGATTACCCTATTGAAGCCGAATTCCCTAAAAAATGAGATACATTCACCACATATCGTCTAAGGCGGAGGAGGCCTGCTAATTGAATTTTTCCACAATGTTATGAGTAGAGCTGACGCTTCCATTGAAGTTCACATAGCCCTACTTCTTGACCTCGCCTCAGTCATTCATATGATTTGGAGAAAATCTAGCTACCATTCCTTCACCAGCTTAACCAAATAGGCTGAATACATATCATGCATCATATCAACTGGTATCCTCGAGGACCGACTTATGCACGAAAAACAAGTTTACAATTGCCAGCCCCGCCTCCGTCGTTAAGGTGGTCAGAGTGGCAAACTCGGGCGAATGAAAAAGGCACAAAGGCTACGGCAGCTGGAGCTCTTATCGCTTACAGCAACTGTTGCATTCAGCGTTAGCTGCCTACGCAAGAGCCACAGGTCATTTTTCCAGCTTTGCTCCTATTTTTTATAGTTTTCCTCTAATATTGTTCCGTATAGCACAACTTGGTATGTTTTGCAATTTACCCTTTTCACGTCTGTATTAGCCTCTTTCCTTCGCACCACATTCTCCCCTTGAAGTGGGAATATCGATGCCAATTAACTAGTGTGGTAATGAGGCAGTTTTTAGGCAAGGTGCTGGCATTACTTGAGCCAAAGACTTCTTTCGATGTGCAAACTTTAAGTGAGTCTGGGAATTTTAAACACTTAAACACCGCTCAAGCTAGGGGAATGCGGAAAAGAACATTTTCTGAGTGACTTATTTATACACTACTTTTCAATTTCTACATACTCTCTCCTTTTTTGCCGGTCCTGGCCTTGGAGTTTGCAGAATGCCAAGAGCCGGCGTGACACTGTGGCGACTCCTCAAGTCGGAACAACGCCATCACTACCAGCTACTAAGATATACGCAAGAAAGTTTTAAGGAGAGACAATAGCTGAAGACGATCGAGACGGTGTAAAACGGCGAATAATGGCAAAGACCATTCGACTTGTTAGACGCTCCATTTTGATAGAATAAAATCTTTCTGCTTAGACAGCCGTCACAAGTGGACGCTCAAGGGTGTGTGTGTGTGCGTTTGTGGCTTGGACACTTGGTCTAACCCTGATAATTCAATTGCTGCATTTACTTTTCAGCCCGCCCTTTAACCCTGGAGGTTTAATAAGGGTGCCGATTAAAAGTGAAGTGACTAGGATGTGCCTACCTTTCCCTTTTTGCATTTGGAGTTTTCGCTAATTAATGTGCCGGCATTTGACAGCTGTTGCCTAAACGTTATGATTGTTTAGTCAGAGAAAGGGGAGATAATTTCAAGTTTAAGATAGCAATTAATTGGTCCCATTTTCAAGTTATGATTGCCTCCTTGTCCGATATTCCTGTCTTTGTGGTTAAGGTATTAAACAACAATATAATGCTCTTGCTTGGATATTCTCCATTAAGTTTGACTGAAACTACATGTGTGGAAG